GAGGGGTTGAAGGGTAAAAGTTCCAAGTTTGAGATTTTTTTTGTTGTTTGTGTACTAGTACTAGCTGTCATAACAAATTTCAGCTTTGTAAGACTTCAGGAAGTACGCTATGAATTTTCATAATCATCAGTGAGTCAGCGACGAAATCTGGTTTTTTAGATATCAATAAAATCTAAAGTGTAAAAGCTTTGCAATTAAAACTTAACTATATAAATATGTATATAAAATTGAAGTGTCTGTTTGTAATGCATGCATGCATGCATATTTGCAGGATAGGTATCCTGCAAATAAACCGGGTAATCTTCTAAACGGCTAGACCGATTTTGATAATATTTTACTAGCAGGTAGCTGTCTATATAACGAGTAACTTAGGCTCTTTTTCCTCTTAGAAAAACCCTTTAAAATTTTGACCGGTCCGGGAATCGCACCTACTAAGGCAGCGCTTTTGAAATTAGTCGCGAACGAAGTCCCGGGTTGTTGGTTGTATGTTTAATAAGTCCACTATTGATATCATATTTCGAGAACCTTGTTTATCTGGTATAATCCAAACCCAAGTTCGTCGCTCAAACGCTCGTCTTGGTGGGGCACTGCCATGCCCCCAGATCGCCTGCGCTAAGTCACGCCTGATTTTTTCAATGAACATACTTAACTTTGCTGATTAAAAAATCCAAAAAGTGTTAATGCAAACAGTCAAATATACATCAATGTAAGTGACAATCAATTTTCCAAATGCAAAATACGTCGAAATCCCTAAAAACATTTTCTTATGTGTTTTTGGACAAATGAATGATCGAGTTATGTATTTTTTCCACATATTTGTGCTGTTGCTATTGCTGTCTACCACACGTCTCACCAAATTTAATACTTGTAAGTCAATAGGGGTATACTTTTTGATTTACATACGAGATGCTAAAATATATGGCTCAGGTGTTCATTTCATTTGATTGCTTGATTTACTTACAAGTTTGTTTTATTTACTGCAAATTTCAATAAGAGACCTTCACACACACGTCAAAAAAAAGTCTGGATAGACAGACAGAGGTTGAAGAGCTATAAGCGTTCCTTATAGGATCTTAATTAACGCCTTAATTTCTTATTTAATACTTAACAGGTTTTTATTCAGAATTTTATTTGTGTACGAATAAATACAAATGAAATTCTCGATCAAGTCAAATAAATGATTTTTTATCTACATATGAATAATTATACTGTAATGTATTAATTACAGTGGGTGTATTTAACGTGATCAGTTACCATACGTGTAAGGGTTTACACAATAATCTGTCTTTAAAATTAAGATATTTTATGTAGTTTGAAACATATTCAACATGACTTATTTCGTCAATAGGACGGTTTTCGTATTAAAAAAATCTGCAACATAATTGAAAGCCGAGTCAATATGTCGTGATGAAACCTAGCCAAAGTTCAGTGAGACTGTCGCCAAAATACTCATGAACGTTGAATCCGGCCGAGAGCCGTCGGCGTCGGTGGCAGTGACCTCGGCGCACCCTGCGACTGCACCGCACCCCTCTCACCCTACGAAATCACCTCGCTCGCCTAATGCCGCTACACCCTGAACCACCCCGGCGCTAAAGTTTATGTTTCAAAATCCTTCATTGAATTACAGAAAATTTTAACATTTATTGTTATTTATTTGTACATGATTAACTATTTATCTGAAAATGGCTGTATATCAGATCGCTTAATTTTTTAACAGTGTTAATAAATAATGGACTGGTGTCCATTTTGTTTATGTTAGAGGGGCAGACGAGCAGACGGGTCACCTGATGGAAAGTGACTATCGCCGCCCATGAACGTCTGCAACTCAGGAGTCACAAACGCGTTGCCGGCTTTTTAGGAAGGAGTACGCTCTTTTCTTGAAGGTTTGAAGGTCGTATCGGTCCGGAATACCGCAGACGATTACCCGTTCCACAGATTGGTTGTGCGGGGCAAAAAGTGTCTCGAAAAGCGCACAGTAGTGGAGCGCCAACTATCCAGATAATGAGGATGAAAATTTTCCCGTGTGGAACGATGGCGGAAATTTGCGGCTGGTATTAGTCCGAACAATTCCTAAGAGCACTCTCCATAATATATGCGATAGAGAATGCAGAGCGAAGCCACATCTCTACGTAACGAAAAGGGATCGAGCCGATCGAAGATGTTTGGGCTATCGACGATTCGAGTCGCTCTTCGTTGGATGCGGTGCGGTCCAGAGGGAGAAGCTGGTACTGAGGTGTCCCTGCATAGAGATGAGAACAGTATTCCATATGCGGCTGGACTTGCGCCTTATAGAGTTGAAGGCTGTGGATCGGAGTGAAATACTGCCTCGATCTGTTCAGGACATCGAGCTTCTTCAAGGCCAATTTGACCTTACCCTCTAAGTGACCCCGAAACGAGATTTCGCTCGAAATGTCGATGTCTAGGATTCCGATGCTGGCGGAGGCAGTTAGGGAGGTGCTGTTTTTTTAGGTTCTTTATGTTGTACTTCAAAGGTTATATACAAACTATTATACATCATCACATACATATACAGATACATACAGATTATCATCTTTCTTGTAAATAAATATTTTATTACTATATTATTGATACCTGTGCTGAAATACAGATAGATTTCAGAAAAATTGCAACATTTAATGCATAAAATAGACCAACTTATATACAAACTGATATGATACAGTAGAACAATACTTTTATATTCCACCAGGTTTTTTAAACCAACCAACCATGCTAAACGCCTATTGAATTTAGGTCTACAGAGCCTCATAAAATTAGCGAATGAAAACTAACAGGGGTCTTAAAGAGTTTGGAATTAGACTCTTATAAACATATGATACAAATAATGCAATTGAGCTGCGTTAGCTACGTATTAATGAATCGTTCATTAAGATGTTGTGACAGTATATATTCAGTGTACTGCAGCATGCTGTATCAGCTCTTCAGATGTTCTATCATGCACGTCACAAGAACGATAAAAATACCGTGTACTATCTTGTATCGGCGATAAAAAGCAGTTGCATAAAGCACATAACAGCTCAGTCCAGTTGGTGTGCTATCATCTACTAGATGGTTATCAGTAAATGTGTTATCAGCGAGCGTGCTCGTGCGTCCCGTAAGCATCGATCGAGCACATTAAGCGTTCGCGGAAGAGATAACAGCCTTTTCATTATCTATTAACATCAACATTGACCGGGTTATAATTAAAATGACATGTATGTTAATTTTGGGCATCTTAATTTTATTACAAATCTATGTACTTTGTACAATAGGAAAGTCTTTTGGGATAATTATAAGTTTCATCTGCGCCGTCAGGACCAATCTGGATATGATTTACCCATCTGAACTTTGTAGTCATTTTGGATCGCGTTTGCATCTTTTAACCGAGATCGGATTAAATGAATATGTGTGACCTGACTATGGTGTGATTGAATATTATTAATGTACAAATATTTTCACAACCTGACATTAACAAACAACAACAAAACAATTTTGCTAATCTAGGATAAAATCTATCTGTTGTTTTTATCTAAATCTCTTTAGCACTTTCACGTTAAGGACACTACAACGACCACAAGTATTATTACATAGTATTAATATTAACTAAGAGCGTAACTTAACGTAAGGGGTATATATATATTTTTTAAATATAATAATGTATAGGTACGGGAATGCACCGTCAGTCACGGCCAATGCCAATGCAATATTACACTGTTGCACGGTTGCAACAGTGTAATACCTGTTAAGTAATCGCGTTAATTCCCGTTAATTCCAAAGTACTAAATTGTTAACGATAGAGGTGACTTTCATAAATTTTAAAGCTATTTGCTTTGCCCCTGTTGTCTTTTGAAGAGAGTAAACGAAACTCAATATCGGACTATGCATGCATTTTGAAATAGTGTTTTCCTGTTCCTGTTTTGTAATAGTGTGGTCCAGACTACCGGTGTAGTACGGCGGTAGTGCACGATATCGCATCGGTGACGTGGATCGCGAGTTCGATTTCGGCTCAGTATAAATAATAGGGGTTAATAGTAATAGCTACTTTGAATTGACATAAAACCTTCATGGTGTGTGATTTCGTGTAAAACTTTTTTCACATGATACGTATGAGGTTCTTCTTTTAAAAAATGTGCAACATTCGATTTTCGACTTTCAACAAAAACGGCTCGCAATATCAACGCTGCATTTAAAGAGGAGGCTACTAATGAACGCACCGTGCGTTTTTGATTTAGATGCTTTCGTGATGGAAACTTTGACTTGAAGAACGAACCACGTTTAAGAACGCTCACACAGGTGAATAGCGTTGAATTGAAGGAGATGGTGGAAGCCGATCCGAGGTATGAAAAATGGGCCCCTTATGATTTGACTGATCTGCAGAAACAAATACGTGTTAAAAGTTGTGTTCCCAGGAGGCAGTACAAAATGCATTCACACAGTTTGTCGAGTCGTGAGTTTAAATTTTTCAGTACAAATCGGCAATTTCATACTTAAACCTCTAATATTTATATGCCAATGCACCAGCCCAATGTCAGGTGTGACTATTTATATATTACCATACTGTCCCATTTTTATAAATAGATCTATCTTTATCCATGTTCTAGAATCTAAAGTTACTATTTCTTCTAAGATATTTAGATCGCGATGTGTAATATTTCTCAGGACATTATTGCATAGGTATATGTTTACATACCTTCATTAATACATTCTTATATAGGTAGTACAGCAATGGTTTTATTAAAATATCCAACTATGAAATAACCTTGTAACTTACGTCACTATTTTCAAGTTTAAAGGTGGAATGCGACCTCATTAATTTGTTTATGAAAGAATTAAAAACAATGCCAATAATGAACTAGTCCGAACGCTAGGTTTTCTTAGTTATTAGAGCAACATTTATGCATGTGGCTCTTTTTAGTGCACTTTTGTAAATTAGAGTGAGGTATATTATTGTGAGTGCAGTGCACTCCCGTAAAGGTCACAGTTAAGGTTAAAGTTGATGTCGGATGGGCGTTGCAGCGGCAGGGACGGTGCGCGGCGGCGCTGGGCGGGCGGTGCAGGGACACCTGAGGGCGGAGAGAGAGGGCGAGGGGCGCACGTTGCAGATTCACTTTCGTCCGGCTACGAGCGCCCGCCACGCCAGTGAGAGAAAGTTGGCCGCGGCGAGCGAACGAGTCTCGCTAGTTTCGCGGCGCGCCGCGCACGCATGTTACGTGCTCCCCGGTTTGCACACTTGCCCTTAAACTTCGCAACATAGCGACGTAAACAATGCGCTAATGTCTGGTCGTATGAGAAAATTTCCGCATTGCTTGTGAATTCATTAACATTATGTTTGTATATTGTACTGTTTAATAGTATCCCGTACGGAAAGTTTTTAAAGACTATCAATTTAATTATTAATTTATATTTAGAATTGACTGAGTGACTGAACAGTATTTTAAGGAACAATGCAGTGCTATCCAAAGTTGTCACCTAAACGCGAACCGATGGACACGGGTTACGAGCCAGAAATGCTTCCCGGAGTGAGACGGCTGGAACTGCCGGCGCCTCCGGGCAAGGAGTTCCGCGCGCCCGTATTGTTGACGGCACCCAGCATGCCACCTACGCATTCAGTTATTCAGTGCATGCGACCACCTCCACCGCCACCGCCACCGCCGCCGCCTCGTCTCCACAAACCTCCTTCTTTCGAAGAACCATCCAGCTCCATTCCAGATCTAGGTAAGTAGTAGTGAACCACCAGTTATTGTTTATTTCAGCTTTATTTCCTGTGATCCTCAGCATCCGTCGTGAAACGGTGCTACGATGCTGTCCTCGACGGAAAAATAAACACTTTGAACTTCAGTTTAAACAAAATTTAAGATTCTATATACTTTATTAATAGCACCACAATTTGTAGTGGAAGGACTAACGTGCCGTTTCACGTGATGTCGTGATATTATCTTTTTTATTTTGACGTAATTTTGAGGCACGTTTTGTAACAAGCGTGTAAATACAAACATGTACTCGTAAGCGGGTTTTCGGTATCTACAGTTCGTGTGTCATTCCATTCAAGGTCAAACAAGTTATATTTTCAAAAAGATGATCATATTGATTCAAAAACAAAGCTTTTTACTTGTATCAAACTGTCCATCAACTCAATCAAATGTAGAGGCGACCTTGAAAACTTTTGTTACCTACTGTAATTAAAGAAACATTGAACTTGTTAAAACATACTGCGCATATTTTCATACTGAATTGTTTTACTCGGTCATTGCTATTTAAACTAAAATCTATTTTATTTTTACAGTTGTTTAAATATTAGTTTAATTATATGCGCGGCCAAAAAGTCAAGGAGTAATAATAGAATGACGTAAAATCCATGATTTTAATAACCATGAAATGATGACTGTGAAACCTAGAAACAAGCAAGTCACCTTCTCTTATTCGGCGATTGGGTCACGGGTTGATCTCAAAAGAGCAACCATTCATCTCTATTGCCGCATTAAGCAACGGCTAGCTCGAAAGTGGGTGTCTAGTAGGCAATCTCCATTGCTACCCTGTGCGTTTGAAAACCGATCATACCCCTTAGGACATATTTTTCGTGCAGGTTTTTTTCCTTGCAGCTTTAAAGATTTGTCCATTATCTGTTATCTGCCTTTTATCAATTGGTTTAGCCACTGTCAGTGTTGGACGCTGTTATTAAATAATTAAGAAAGGGTCTTATTGGGGCACGAAAGTATTGGAACATTCCCAAAAATTCTCGAGATAGCGTGTGTATGATTTATCTAGGTTTTTTCGAACGGGGAACGGACAAAAACGTAGCAGTACATTTGCGGGCGTTTCCCGCCTTGTTACCTACAACTTTAGGCGAACACAGCAATATACAGGGTTACTGGTTGAGTCGACCTAGATACTTTAAGGGATTGTAGTAGCCATTATTGCTAATAGATTTTGCTAAGAAATACCATAGTTCAAACCCAACCATTTAATGATATTTTTGAACTTAATTTTTATAAAAATGACCGAAATTGCCAACCACAATTTTTTATAACTTATGATTTTGTGTAGTTGATACATTGTTTTATAATTTTCATTCCCAAAATTGTAGTTAATTAAAAAACTAGGCCGAAGTAGATAGTTGATTACACCAAAATGAAATAAATTAGTAAAATCTTTTTTTTCTTTGTTAAATATTAAAAAAAGTCTTACACGTACACTTTCACCTATATCCCCAAAAGGAATAAGCAGAGGTATATTAATCGTACACACTTTTGCAAACTCTAAATTTTAATCCCACTTACATTATAGGGGTTGCCCCCTATAATGTAAGTGGGATTAAAATTTAGTGGGCTTATTGCTGTTAACAGCTCATTGGGTATTAGATGGACAAACTGAGAGTTTAAAATGAAATAAAAGTTTGAGAAGACTATAGTAGAAAGGGATATTGCCTATTTGGATATATTGGGGAGTGTAAACATTTACAAAAATAGCTCGAATAGGTCAGGGTCGAATACCTGTTACACGACGTGGCTGTTGCCGGGAAGTCCGTGTCCTCTAACCGAGAATCAATATCGCAACCAAACCAAAACAAGCCTCACTTTTTAATTTCCATTATATTTATAATTAATGCAATTTTAAGGATACTCATTAGACTTTACTAAAAAGTGGTTAAGTGCATATTTGAAAGTCACCACAAGTCACCAGTCAGAGAAAAAAAAAGAAATAAAAAAGATACAAGGCCAGTGATATGTATCACACAATACTTTAAGGCGCTTAAGGTACGGAAACTGAGTCCTAAACTAGGCTTGAGCCTGTATTTTGATAATATAATATACCTCATTATCTGATAGACTTACTACTTTACTATCTCAATAAGGTAAAAATAACATATTTGCGTTCGAGGAGAAAGATTATTTAAATGCCTGTTAACATAAAAATAAATACACGATACGATTATAAGGTTTTTATTTTGTTTACTTTCTTATAGAACAGATTGTAAATAACATGTGTTATAACTTTGTTTTTGCAATTTCAGTTAGTCTGTGCAATTAGCACCTGTCGCTGACTTGTTCTTGATTAAAATTATAAAGTAGTCTGATAGTTATTCTATTACTAATAGGTATTATACACAATATACCTAAATTTTTTAAAAACAAAATGTTATAGGCACGTGCAATTTAAAAGCCTATTTTCTACACTTCCACCTCCCAAAGACGAGTTCTCTTGTCTTTTTTTAGCAGGGTTGCCCCGCTACCCGCTACCTCCGATCAATCGTCGATATGCCGTTGATTGATTGGTGAGGTAGTTTCGTTGTGATTGATTAAAGATCGATTGTAGTCCGATATAGGTCAACAGTCGGGATCGAGCTAGGATTTAATAATGCATACGAGTGTAATGGACGCCATTCCAAATTCGACCACACGGATATACACATAAGTAATTGTGTCATAGTTTTTAATTTGTCCGTGTGGTGACGGCTGAAGAAAACGGAGTGTCACCACTGGAGTGTCATGAGAGCCGACTAAGGGAGCAAACTACGCAGGACAACAATATTGCAAAGTGAAGGAAAACTTGACACAAACCCTATACCAACCCGTCTAGCCAACGTGGCATAGCAGGCCAAAACTTCCTTTCTAAGGCGATGTGAGCATGTCCAGCAGTGGACTATTAATTAAGGCTATTGATTTGACGATGTGATGTAAAAATTGATGCATTAGTAGGTCTTAAAGTATATTGAAAACAGCAATCTTAATGCGAATGAACTACTTTTCTGTTAAACACAAATACTTATCGCAAATCGACTGAATTGCACATATACGTACAAATACAATACTGATTAGTAAAAGGTGTATTTATGTAAGGTTCTATGTAATATATGTATCCAAATAGTCTATTTACATTTTGACTTAAATCTTTACATGTTCATAAAACTACCCGCAAGTAAAAATAAATAGATATTCGAATCATTTTGTTGTATATTTCAGTTTTAGTACATGAAAATAATGTTTACTAACTTTGCATAGTTATGCACTTCTACATAAACCTGCGCATTGCTCGTATACTCTTATAAATATCTCTAACAAGATTTTTTTGTTTTTTGTTTAATAAAGCCTAATAATGTTACCTGCCCCAGGAAAATAATCAAAGTACTAAAAAAAATAAGAAACTAAAGAAGATCAAGTGTTATTTAGGTAAAATTTATGCTGGTTACCTTCATAACATCAGGTATTACCTATAAAAAAATGATTGCGTATAATAATTTTACATTGCCTTGGCCCCGGTGAATTCATACTTCCTGCTTCGGAAAATTGTAACAGCGTATTACTGCTACACAGCAATTTCCGGGTGATGACGCTGAGTGATGAAGGTCGCACTTATTTAATAAGCGACATTATTATATTGCATTGATTAGTTTATTATAACGCACAATAATCTTAATAAACAATGCGAAGGACGAACGTGCATGTTACTCTGTAATAAGACATGTCTTCCTAGGTCGCTCATTGTAAACGTACACGCATTACGTAGAACCTTGTATACTTGGAAAATAATTGCAAGAATTGCATTGTATAGTACAAAAATATTTTTATATGAAATCATGGTTCAAATTTTTATTTAATATATGGGGGCAGGAAAATAACGCGTGTAACCGTCGAGGGTATTCTGTTACAGCACCGACAGTCCTCCATTTTAGGCTCAATTGTGCCATACAAAGGCATACCATAATGATGGTTTACCTCTGATTGATAAATTCAACTAGACAAGTCCGAAAATGGCCTCAAGGCAACTATTGTTAGAGCGTATTTTAATGGCAATACATGACTCGCTTAAAATTGATAAAAACATATTAATTCGTTCCGACCGTTACTAACTCCTGAAATTAATCGCCACAGGCATGACAGTAAAAATAAAGTACATGTTACTGGAGAAAAGGTTATTGTTTAAAGCTTTAGAAAAATATAAGATCGCTTTGACACAGAGTCACATAATTCATTAAAAGGCAGTTTCGCCAGGTCAAATTTTAAGAGAAATTGGAAGAGACTCTGGCTCTACAGGTTAAAAAAAGTTCAGGGAAAGTATCACTATCGCGTTTTGCATTCGTTTCTAGAGATAAGAAGAGAGTTCGTTTGAAGTAACTCCATAAAGCTACTGAAACTATATAATCTTTAGGAGGTTAACCAATAGGATCATGATCCGCATCCTCCCATAGTAGGGAACCTGCTGCCGGCCGATGGTGTGGTTTTTATCACATACTCGTGGCTTCTGAGTCCCCGATTAAGCAGGAGATCCGAAGGGAGTTTCCACCCCGTCAACAAAAGTCTTAATCAGTTCAAATATAACATAAACCATTACCATACCATTGCCACCACTAGACAATAACGAAAGTTTTATTATCTTGATAATGTAGTTTTTATACAGTTTCTCTCACTCCTCCCCCCCCCCCCCCCGCATTTATAGAATGGCACTAAACTTTGCTTCTTTAAGTTATCAGAAATACGAGCAAATTTCTTTGTTAAACAGCCATTGTGTAAAATTAATTTATGATTGAACCAAATACGAAATCATGTACGTCAGAAAGAAGGAAAGTTAATTAAAGGGAAGTCGGATAAAATTTCACCTCCTTTTTTATTCAAATACATGTTACACGTCATTGAATTTTATTAATTCAAGTGTGAGTATAACTTGCGCCCCGAAGGTTTACAGGTTATTCATACATATTTTTGAAGTTCTTGATCAATTACTATGA